AGGTGGGGCGGCGCGGGGGGGGGTCGGGCTGCCTCGGGGCCCAGCCTGGCACCAAGGAGAGGCCACACCCTGTCCTCAGCTAGTCCTGCCCCTCCCCTAGGGCCCATCAAGGACCATTCTCAATCCTCCCTTCTCCGGCGCATCCCCTGCTTTGCCTCGAGAGACCATTGCCCAGTGTCTGGGGCTCGGGCTTGTCTACACTGGCATGTTTAGTCACCAAAACCTGCCTTTTGGTGGCAAAACAGGGAGAGCATTCACACTGCAGAGCGACCTCTGTCAGGAAAACACCCATTCTGGTGACAAAACACTTCCAGGCCTGCGGAAGACTTTTGTCTTAGCCCCTCCCTTTATTGTCGACAAAGAGCCAGCGTGGACTCTGCTGTTTGTTTTATCCTGAGAACTGGCTTCCGCCTGTATCCCACCATGCCTGCTCTGAGGGCTGAGCTCAGTGTTGTGTGAGCTCTGCTGCCCTGCGGGCAGGCAGTCCCTCCCGTTTGTGGGAAGTGTCTGACAGACAGGCTGCTGCTGCAGGGGAAGGGCTGGAGAGGCGGCTGCGCTGCTTGGACATTCCCAGCACAGGGAGCTCCCAAAGCTACGAGGGAATCCCAAGAAGCACAGAGATCAACTCTGCCTTCCCCCCACACTGCCCTGGGGGATACTCACCCACAATGCTTTGCTAGCACCTGTTGACAGATGGGGCCATGGGAGGCAGAAAACCGGGTTTGACTGGTTTTCGCTTTTGGCAACTTTTGCCCATTGGCAACTTTCATCGCCAACCCTTCCCGGTGCAGACACGGCCTCGTGGTAGCCCGTGCTCTGCCCAGGCACCTGGAATCTGATGTGGTTTGGCTCTGCCGGCCTCGTGGGTGAGTGCGGCCGGGACCAGCCCCACTCCTGGCCAGTTCCTCTCCCTGTTGCTCTCTCTTTTGCAGCACCAAAATGGGATGTATGGGCTGCACCAAGACGTGCACCATTTCAACTCCTTCGACAAGGTGCGGAGCCTTCCCCTGCTGCTCAGCCAGGCCCGGATCCGGACAGGTAAACAGCCGGGGTGCTGGGAAGAGAGGGGAGCAGGAGGGTGCAGTGAGTCAGGGTTTTCGGTGTTCGGTTCGTTACTGACAGGTCCTCTGCTCCATCAGTGATGATAAACTTTCGGCTGCGTGCATGTGTGTGTCCCTTTATCTAAAGTGTTAGACCCTGTGCTCTTGGGTCAACACAGTGGATCTCTGAGAGCCCCTGGAAACGACAGATTCAGGCAAGGGTGAAATCAATCGGGCAGGTTTATTGCCAAATGGTCTGCAATAACAGTTGTGAGCAGAAAGTCTCAACGCCAAGCCCCTGTGCATTCTGCAAGCGTTGACAACGTACCAGCACGTAGCAGGCCTATTGCCAAATGACAGATATTAACACAGATATTAACTGTGGTTAGCCAGCATTAAGCCACTGTACGTTCTGCAAGTCTCAGCAACGACATCTGCTGTTTCAAGTGCCTAATGCACCCCCCCTCACCCCGAAGGTCGGTCGGCACTCAGCATTTGCGGTGCCCTTTTACAGACACATACAAACAACTTACTCTCCTTCAGCCCGTTCCTAGGTCTAACTCTCAACCTAACTTACTCAACCTAACTTACACAATTTACACAATTATCACTAGAGCCTCTTTCTTGCCTCCTGTGTTACTGAACCAAAGTCTTGCTCACTAGATTCCAGGCCTGTTGCTGTATTTTATGTTACAGGCCTGCTGACTCCATGTTACCAACTTACTACCGCTGCTCGCCGCTCCCCGACTTACAAACACCCATACTTATGACCAACCTCCCATTAACCCCATTATATTATTTTCCAGTTGGGAACCACGTACGTCAAGTTATTCGAACAGCGCAGGCAGCACGTTTAAGGGTATTTCCGACTTACGACCAAATCGAGTTACGACCAGGTGTTCAGAACGTAACCCTCTTGTAGTATAGTCCTTCTCACACCCATGCCACTGAACCCCCTCCAGGCTGCGAAACGCCCACCAAAGATTTCCCTAAGGAAAGGTTGGTTCTCATTGCTTGCCAGCCATCCAGACGTGCCCATATGCAGTTCAACATGGAGCCTTTCTGCTGCATTTGGTGCTTCATTTTGCCAAGCAGAAAGTGCACCTTCCTTACTACTACTACTACTACTACTACTACTACTACTACTACGGAGCTATACCATCTCAGAGCTGGAAGGGACCTTGAGAGGTCATCGAGTCCAGTCCCCTGCCCTCATAGTAGGCTCAAGTACCATCCCTGAGAGATTTGCCCTAAATGGCCCTCTCAAGGATTGAACTCACAGCCCTAGGATTCGCAGGCTAATGCTCAAACCACTGAGCTAGCCCTGTCCCCACATAAATAATACTCCTTATGGCACCTCCTTTAAATTGGCATAATAGACTGCACGCATGGGCCTTGAGAAGGGGTGTTGGATTCCACGCCTCATTTTCAATAGCTCTGGTTTTCAACTCCAACCTGCATTTCATTGCAACGTTAAAAATCCCAAATAGTGATAGAAATGTAGCTGTGTTAGTCTGATGTAGCTGAAACAAAATACAGGACTGTGTAGCACTTTAAAGACTAACAAGATGGTTTATTAGGTGATGAGCTTTCGTGGGCCAGACCCACTTCCTCAGATCAAATAGTGGAAGAAAATTGTCACAACCATATATACCAAAGGATACAATTAAAAAAAAAATGAACACATGTGAAAAGGATAAATCACATTGCAGAACAGAAGGGAGATGCAGGGGGAGGGGGAAAGGAAGGTGAATGCCAGTGAGTTACTGATATTAGAGGTGGGGAAGGGGAGATGTCTGTGAGTTAATGGTATTAGAGGTGATAATTGGGGAAGCTATCTTTGTAATGGGTAAGGTAGTTGGGGTCTTTGTTCAGCCCCCCGCGGAGAGTGTCGAATTTTAGCATGAATGCCAGTTCAGAGGATTCCCTTTCAAGTGCAGATTTGAAAGTCTTCTGAAGTAGGAAAATCCCGTTTCATTAAAATTCATTTTAAAAAATCTTCCGTTTTTTATCGGCCCTGCTCCTTCCCCCCGGCCCTGCAGCTGGGGCGTTGACTCTGCATTTCTGCCTGACCCGGTCGCTTTCACTTCTCTATCTAGAGAAGCCAGTGGCGTGGATAAGGCACGCTGGGCTATGCCTGCCCGTGTGTTCCTGCTGCCCAAGCACGGCCATTCTCAGCCCTGCCCTGCCCTGCGGCAGCCTCCTCTGCTCTACCTGCCGCTCTCAGGTTTGCTCCTGACGTGCCAGGCTCCGTTTCTCCTGCAGGGATCATTGGGAAGAAGCATGTCGGGCCGGAGATGGTGTATCCCTTCGATTTCGCATACACGGAGGAGAACAGCTCTGTGCTGCAGGTGGGCAGGAACATCACCCGGATCAAGCTGCTCGTCCGGAAATTCCTGCAGAGCCAGGATGAGAGGTGAGGCCCTGCACACCCCGTGGCACAATTCTCTCTGACCGGAGTGTCCTTGCCTCCTGTCCCCTCGTCCTGATGCACAGGGTGCCCCTGGGCCTTGTCCCCTGTAAACGGAGCGCTTGGGTAGCTGCCCGGCTGCTTAGCAGAGCACCCACAGCCAGTAGCATATATTTCTACTTGTGGTGCACATCTGCATGTGTCTCGGTGCACAGAACAAAATTTATTCTGCATGTGGATGGAAAATCTTAGAGGGACCATTGCCCCTGTGCCTGGGTCATGGGCAGACACGGTGATCAGTGCCCTCCATCAGGTTACCGGCTTTCCTCGGGGCGCTACTGGAACCAGCTTTGCCCCTCCGAAGTCTTGCCTTCCAGTTCATCACAAGTGCAACGAGCTGGCTGGTCTCAGTGCAGCTGGCCCCAGGCTGTGGCTGGAGCCCGGCGGCGGCCCAAGGCTCGGGTTAGGATCGGGGCCCATGAGAGGAGCAGCCCTGTCCTACTCCGCCCGTGCTCTCAGCAGCTCCCTTCTTGCCCTCCCCTCCCACGACCCCCATCGCTGCGGCCATACCCAGCCGCAGTACGGGGCCTTCTGCGAGAAGTTCGGCAACGGCGAGAGCGGCATGGGCTGGATCCCCGACTGGACGCCCCAGCTGTACAGCCCCGAGGCCGTGGAGGGAGGGGGGGGCTGGTGGGAGGCCACCCCGGGCC